TTTACAGAATGCCTCTAGATCTGGCCACCAGAATGTACGTCATAACAAATCGAGAGTCTTGTGTACACCAAAGTGGCCTGCCAGGGGGTGATCATGACAAAGCTTCAGAACAGACACTCGGTTACTTTCTGGCACAAAGATCTTGTCCTTCCACCATAGCAAACCTTCTTTAGGAACTAGTGTAATTGCAGAGGGGTAGGGGACCCCCACAGAAGCTTGTTTAATTTGCGACAGAAGGTCAGTTTGTAATAACAAAACGTTACCTGCAGGCAGGATGGTGTCTGGCACAGGAGGTTCTCTGGGGTCATCAAATATATGAGACAGAGCATCTGGTTTAGTACTCTTTGATCCAGGTCAGTAAGTGATGTGGAGTGCAAACCTCAAGAAGACAGTCCCCATTGAGCTTGTTGTGGCTTCATACGCTTAGCAGATCTTAAATACTCAAGGTTCTTATGATCTGTATAGATCAGTATAGGATGTGCTGCTCCTTCCAACAGGTACCTCCATTCTTCCAAGGCAGCTTTGAGGGAAAGCAGTTCTCTATCTCCCACATCATAGTTTCTCTCTGCTGGAGAAAGTTTGCGTGAAAAGAAGGCCACAGGGTGCATTAAGTCCTTCAGACCCTGACGTTGTGAAACCACTGCCCCTACTGCGATTTCAGATGCATCCACTTCCAATATGTATGGCAACGATGGATCAGGATGGCTGAGGATAGAGGCGGAAGTGAAGAATCTCTTTAGGGTTCCAAACGCAGTTTGTGCCTCAGGGCTCCAGTGAAAACAGGGGTTCCATTTAGTCAGCTGTGTGATGGGGGCAATAATGGCGGAGAATCCTTTAATAAATCTCCGGTAGAAGTTTGCTAATCCCACAAAATCGCTGCACTCCCTTTTTGTCTGTGGGTGCCGGCCAGTCTATTATAGCGGACACCTTTTGGGGATCCATCTTAATTCCTGCTGTGGAGATCACCAGGCCCAAGAATTGGGTGCACTGTCGCTCAAACTCGCACTTCTCGGGTTTGGCATACAGTCCATGTTGACGGAGCTGGCATAGAACACTCTTCACATGCTTTCGGTGTAAGTCCAGGGACACTGAGAATATTAGGATATCATCTAAATATACAACTACAAAAATGCCCAGGAAGTCTCTGAATATATCGTTAATGAAATGCTGGAAGGTGGCAAGGGCATTGCAGAGACCGAAGGGCATAACCAGATATTCGAAGTGGCCGAATCTGGTTCGGAAAGCCGTCTTCCACTCATTTACTGCATGTATGCGGACCAGGTTTTAGGCCCCTCTTAAATCCAGCTTGGTAAAGATAGTTGCGGACCGCAACCTTTGGAACAGTTCAGGTACAAGAGGAAGGGGATAACGGTTCTTCACTGTAATTTTATTGAGTTCCCAATAATCCATACATGGCCATAAAGAGTGGTCCTTTTTCTCGACAAAGAATATTCCTGCCCCTGCTGGAGAGGTGGAGGGACGGATGAAACCCTTTTCTAAGTTTTCATCAATGTACTCTTTCAGAGCCTCCTGTTCCTGTTCTGAGAGTTGGAATATTCGCCCGAATGGAATCTCGGCTCCCAGAAGCAGTTCAGTTGGGTAATCATATGGCTGATGAGGGGGTAGGGTTAATACCCTACCCCCTCATCGGCCATATGATTGCCTGAGGCTAATGCCCCTCATCTGCTGAAGACATCAACATATTCGTGATAATATTCGGGCACCTTTTGACAGATCTCAACATCAGAGTCCATACAGAGTAGGGTCACAGCAGAATTGGGTGTTTCTGGCAAGCAATGTTCTCAATAGGTGGATTGGAAAGTGACTTCTCCAGCAATCCAATCAATTTGAGGGTTGTGGGCTTGAAGCCAGGGTAGGCCCAAAATGACAGGAAACAGCGGGAACGTGATAGCGTCAAGACTCAAAAGTTCTTTATGTTTGGCAGGGGTAACAACAGGCAATGGTGGTGTTTCCTGGGTTACCAATCCCGATTTGATACATAAGCCATCTGCCAGATAAGCTGAAAGTCCTTGAGTCTTTGGTCTTAAAGGTATATGCTGCTGGGCTGCAAAAGTCAAGTCAATAAAGCAGCTGCATGCCCCAAAATGAATAATGGCATTGACCGAGATTGTTCCTTCTGGCAGCTGGAATGAGAGTGGAAGGGCTAGGTGAGTGGTACTGGCAGATAGTGATGACAGGTTAGCAGGAGAAATAGATAAAGACACTTACGCATCTTTATGGGGCATGTGCGCACATAATGACTGGCTTCTCCACAGTACAGGCAAAGGTTGACGTTCCTCAGGTGACAAGGATGGACGCATCAATCCAAGCTGCATGGGTTCTGGAGTTTCATATGCTGGAGTCACAGGATTGACAGGAATGGTGTGAGCAGCTGGGGAGTGAGTGGAAGAAGGCATCCTGGGCATCATCCATACAGGACGTGACTGCTGAGTTGTTCTTTCCAACCTGCGTTCACGCAGCCGCCTCTCTATCTGGATGGACAAAGTAATAAGAGCCTCCAATGTATTTGGTACACCAACCCAGGCCAGTTCATCTTTTAGCCCTTCAGCAAGCCCAAAGCGGAACTGGTGTCACAGGGCTGCGTCATTCCATTGTGTGTCTGCACTCCAGCATCTGAAGTCTGTAACATAGTCCTCAACCGCTCTGCAGCCTTGCTGGAGCATATGATGGGCAGCCTATGCTGTGGCAGTCTGCTGTTGGTCAGTGGGTCATCATATAACTGGGCCATTGCTTCAAAGAAGGCAGACATGGTTTGCAGCTGGGAATCATTTTCTTCAAGAAGTCGGTGGGCCCAGGACTGTGGCTCACCTTGGAGTAAAGAGATGATGAACCCAACCTTGGTGGATTCCAGAGAGAAAGTTCGTGGTTGTAGAGAGAAGTATAATTGACATGCGTTTTGGAATGCCTGGATATTACTTCGATCTCCCGAAAATCTTTCTGGTGTGGGGACCCTGGGTTCAGGGGGTAGCATCACCACAGTTGGTGCAGGAGCAGGTACTGTAGGAGCTGTGGCAGATGAGGAAGCGGGTGTTGTCACAGGACTGGCAGATGTAGTGAGAAATTGTACCCGCTCTTCCAACTGAACGTACCCCTCTTGAAGAGACTTAACAGCTCGAGTCAGGGCAGCAAGATGCTGGCAAAACTCATCCATGGGAGAGGATCCTCCTGCAGGCTCAGACATGGCTGTCTGATACGGTCACGTACTTGTGAGCCTGATGGCAGGATGAAGGCCTCTCGTACAGCTCCGGTTCAAGGGCCACTGAGGGTGGAACAGCAACCACAAGAGCACGGCGGGGTGTGAGTGCCTGTTCAGTCCTGTAGTCTGTGCAGGAATTGCTGGCACTTCGCCGGGAGATTGGATTGCTGGAGCGGCAGGGCAGTCTGGCAGCAGAGCAGGCAGGCAAGAAATGAAGTAGGATGGTAGCAGACGGAATGCAGGGTCAGACAAGCGGGGTCGCTAACAGATAAGCAGGTCAGACATGAACAGTAAACAGAAGAATAGTCAGGTCACAAGCCAGGGTCAGTGTTCGTGGGAGCAGATCAGGCAGAATGCAGATGCAGAGTCCAAGAAACAAGCCGTGGTCAATCACAGGTAATCAATTTCAGGAACAGGATCAGGCACAGGAATACAGGAGGGGGAGCTGCAGATCAGACAGCACAGGCTAATAGTGCTGCTGGGTTTAAATAGTCTGATTGGCGCCAACATTAGCAACGGGCTGTCGCGTGTGTGCATGTGCGCATGCGTGAACGCAAATGCACATGACTATGTGCAGCAGAACGGGCCCTCGCACATCTGTGCCTGCGCTGCTGTGCACTATGGCGAGCATCTTCCTGACATATTATGTATCTCAAATGAGGGATCATATATAAATATCAGTAGTCTCAAATGGCTATATCCTGATGAAAAACTTTAGTATCCCAGTCTGAACCAATAGTACTACTCCGGTGACATGCGATAAATAGTGAGATTGCACACTCATCGGAAGCACAATCTTAATGCATGTCACCGGAGTACTATTGGTTCACACTGGGATACTAAAGTTTTTCATCAGGATATAGCCATTTGGGACTACTGATATTTATATATGATCCCTCATTTGAGATACATAATAACTTTGGCACTTTATTTGGACATTTGTGCACTTTATTTGGACGGTTTTATCCCATATAGATCACTTTTATTGGTATAGCTATCTAAGCGTTTAAGTCATCCCTTCATCTTGGGTTGTCACCTGTTATTATACTTTTATGCACTGATAGTAGTATTTTACGTCATGGTGGTTTACTACTTTTATTACATCGCAATTAAGTGTTTATTTTACTGATTTTAGCGCTGCACTTTTTTATCTTATTGATTACTTACTATGGTATGGAGGAATTTTACCATATTGCAGAAGATAAAATGAAGAGATTTAAAAAAAACATGGGAAAAATGGAATGAGTTTAAAAGAAAAGTTTCAAATAGATACGTAGAACTAGCAGGCATAGAGAATGAAGAGATGAAAGAATAATATCTGTAAAAGATAGGGAAAAGAAAATTAAGAGGCTAGGAAGTAGGAGAAGGAAGTTACAGAGAGTATAGGAGAGATAGGAGGAATAGGAAGAAAAAGGGACAAGAAACGGGAGTTGACAAAAGGGATTTAGGGAAGGGGAGGAGGTTAGCGGTTATGGAGGGAGGGTATAGGGAAAATATGTATAGAAAAAAGTGTTTTGTAATGATTAGTAATGTGATGATCTGTTTTTGTAACATGGAAACTAATAAAATATAAAAAAAAAACCATATATTAAAGAATATCAAACAGCAAAAAAACCACTGTGCTATATGCTCTTGGATTTGCAGAACACATGAAAAGGTGCAAAAAAAAAATTCAAAAAATAATAATGAATAAATGCCTGAGATAGTCTCATTCAGGGTTTGATCCAGCCTTTCTGATGTGGGGGTGCAAAAAAAAATGTCAGGGGCAGAGGATGCGGGGGCAGCAGAGCAGTGTATAGGAGTCAGTAGGACAGTGTACAGGGGTCAGCAGGGTACTGTACAGTACCCTACTGTACATACATTAGTTTGTATGATCACTGTCACTGTACACTTACAGGGTGTTATCGGGGCAGTGTACAGGGGCAGCAGAGCATTGTACAGGGGTCAGCAGTGCAGAGGATGAGAGATCAGCAGGGGAGTGTACAAGAGTCAGTAGAGAAATGTACATGCGGTCAGTAGGGCAGAGGATAGGGGTCAGCAGGGTGGAGGATGGGAGGTCAGCAGGGGACTGTACAAGAGTTAAAAAGGCAGAGGATAGTGGTTAGTAGGGCATAAGACAGGGGTCAGCAGAGCAGAAGACAGAGGTCAGCAGGGTGGAGAACAAGCGTTCTTAGGGAAGAAGTCAAGGGTCAGTAAGGCAGAGTACAGAGCCAGCAGGGCAGTGTACAGGGGTCAGCAGGGCAGGGTACAGGGGGTTAGTATGATAAAGAACAGTGGTCAGCAGAGAAGAGGACAGGGTCACAGCTGGCATGACACTCAGTAGAGCTCCTCCTTCTATCCCTGCACTGCACACAGCCTGAGCCCTCAGTAAATCTCCCCTCCCCACACTAATCTGGGAGTTTCCCAGGTCAGAACTGTGACATAGCAACCAGGAATTGTGTCTGCAAAAGAATCCAATCTCAATGTGCTGTGTTGGAAGGAGGAGTTCTGTTGAGCGTCCTTTGTGCTGGAAATGCTGGACAAGGTCATCTAGCTCCTGCGGCAAAGATGACAAACACTCCCCCATGTGTGAGCATCATGTCTCATTATACATCTCTCCCATAAAAAAAAAAAAAAAAAAACACTGATCAGCATGCTCATCCTCTAAGCATAATTTCCGTCTGCAAGACAAAATTCTTTCCAAACAAAAATACAAAAACTTTCTTCTCCCAGTCAAAATTCCCCCTTCTCAGCACAAATCTTTGCCCCCCAATCCCACCTCCTAGCTCAACCCCCCCCCCCCCACACACACATAATTTCCCCCCACTAGCACAAATCTCCCTTACCCAAACAAATCATCCCTCCTAGCACCATCCTCTTTCCCCTCAATTTTCCCATCCTAGCACAAATCCTCTCCCCCAAATTTCCTCTCCCAGCACAAATCTCCCCAATCCCTTCTCCTAGCTCAAGCCCCCCCCCCCCCCAATCCTCCCTGTTATCTCAATTCTCCCCTCCCCCTCCCAGCACAACTTCTTCCTCCCAGAACAAATCCTCCCTCATATACCAATTTCCCCCCCAGCACAAATCTTCACCCCCAAATTCCCCCTCTTAGCACAAATTCCCCCCCCCCCCACATTACCCATCCAAGCAAAACTAGCTCTTCATCTCAAAATTACATGTAGGAAATCAGAGCTTGAAGGAGGTGGACTGTGCTGTGCTCTCTTCCCTTTTTGTCAGAACATCGATCCTCCATACAACAGATGGCACAATATATGGCTTGATTACTCACCCTCTATCTCCCCAAGCACTGCTCATCTCCCAACAGCAGAAAATGTCAGTAAGGGGCATGTACAGTCTGATCTAAGAGTGATCCCATGTCATCTGCTGTATGGAGGATCACTGTTCTGATAGAGGCGGGGAGAGCACAGCACAGCTCACATGCCCTCCTCGCTCTCTTTCCACTATCGTTTTTTTCTGTTGAGACTTTGCTAATTCACCGTGGCAGGCTTTCCCCTTTGTCCCGGACAAGATTGAGGGGATGGGGAGCCCAGTGGGTAAGGCACAATGTCCATGGTGGGGGGCAGGCCTGGGGGCATAAATAAATTACATCAAGAAAAGACTACATTGAGCTATATCTATATTGATGAGAAAATCTCACACACCACCATATCTAGCCATGGAAAACATATGTGAAACACGTGTCCAGTATAAATCAATTTGTATCAGAATAAATGGAGTGACTTGCCTCGCTAGGAATTAATTACTGACTAGTAGTGGTGAAGGAGACTCTCTGTTTAACATATCATTCATAATATTCACAAAACAAAAACAAAAGAATGCTGGTGGATCATACATAGCAAAACCATGAATAATATATATAATATAAATATAATAAATCATTATGCAATGGGCATTCAAGATATCAGTGAAGGCAAAATCATCCTTCAGGAATATATAATAGCAGGAAAATATATTTGTAAATGTATGTTAACCATATAATCACAGTATTATTCCAAAAGGGGGACCGCTTCTAAATAATGCAGATGTAATCGAAGTCCCGGAAACAACCCCTGAGTATTTAGAATACAAAATTACAACAAAATCATCTTTTTGAGGTATACATCTGTAGCACTACCACCTCAGGGGCAGCTGAGTAAATTTCAGGTTATTTGTCTTTCTTGATCCCACTCTGGAAGCCCAACCCTTGCTGACACCATCTTAAAACCTCTGGCCAGAAGAACCCTCTAGATGCAACCATAGAGAGTCTCACTCACTCTGGGCTCTCAGGGGCTGATGACTGGGTTTAATTCTGAGGAAACGAGCTCTTCAATTAAATAGGTCAATGTCCCTGCTATATCTGATTTTCTGCACTCTCGGCGGGGCACTAATTGGTGCACATAAGGAATTGAATCTTCCTTGAGGCAAAGGTAGAAGTTCCTTAATAGGGGGTGAACACAAATAAAAAGAACTGCCCCATTAAGTGGTATTTAATTCGGACTCCCGAGTCCTGCTGTCTGCGCCCATTGACACAGATAGCAGGACTCTGCCTCGCCCCCAACTCCCTCGTCACTGCCTTTGACTGACAGCAGATGGAGCCAATGGCTCCCGATGCCCCAGCAAAGCCTGTAAAACCAGAACTGAAGAAGAGCTGCAGACGTGCACAGAGCTGGATCGAATGAGGGCTCAGATATGTAAACGAAAAGGTGAGAGAAGATGTATCCACTGATACCTCAATATTTTTACCTTAATGCAAGGAATTCAGGTAAATAATGTTTAGGCTTTATAACCACTTCCTGTCCAGACACACTTTTACCCCCTTCCTGTCCAGGGCAATTTTCAGCTTTCAGCGCTATCACACTTTGAATGACAGTTGCGCGTTCATGCAATACTGTATCCATATGAATTTTTTACCATTTTTTTAGACAGATAAAGCTTTATTTTGGTGGTATTTATTCACCGCTGGGATTTTTTTTTTTTGCTTTTTTTGCTATGAAATGAATGAAAAGGTCCAAAAATTTTGAAAAAAAAGTGTTTTTCTTATACAATTTTGCAAATAAATAATATTTCATCATAAATCTTGGCCAAAATTTATTCCGTTATCTTTTTGGTAAAAAAAAAAATAAGCCAAATTAGTTTATAATCAAAAATTATAATTTTTAAACTTTTTTTTTTACATTTGTAATTTATTTTTTTATTTTATTATTTATGTTTTATTTTTTTTACATACTGTCACCCTAGCAGTACAGTGTCACCATGGTGACACTGTACTACTTGTGGGGGGGGGGGTGATGAAGATTTTTTTTTTTTTTTTTTTTACACTGATTGCTTTTACACCCATATAGGATGTAAAAGCAATAATTTCTCCTCTCTGTCTGCATTCTTTCAGCCATTGAGAACTACTGAGTGAGCTGTGATTGGTCACAGCTTGTCACATGGTACAAGGCTGTTGTGAATAGCCTTGTACCATGTGACCTCTGTGATCATTCACAGATTTCACGCGTAGTAAGCAATGATGTCACTAGTGACATCTTGCTTACTACTTTGCATGTGATCACTGATTGGCCAATCAGTGATCACATGATTGGGACCTCGTACACATGATCGGTGTTTCACTGTGTCTGGAGGATACAGCGGTCACTGGATTGCGGTGCTGCGCGCTCCCAGGGAGCGCGCAAAAGCAGGTTGTGGGGAGGCTGTTTATAAACGGCCACCCGACGCTGCAGTGCCACCGTTTATATACAATGGCCGGACGGGAGGTGGTTAAATACTGTTTCAATTGATTTGAACACTTAAGGCCTTAAAATGGCCTTAAAGTGTCCACATCTAAAGGAACAATAAGATTGTGGACAATAGAGGACAAACCTGTCCCCTCCAGGCTGTATAAGGGCTTTGGCTCTATGCTCTGATGCAATGTGGACATTAAAAGGCTTAACCTAGCTCCCTGAATCCCAGTTTATCAACAGTGCCAGCCTCTACCCATTCATGCACTGTTTACTTACACCAGATTCAAAGACAACTTACTTTGACAGGCAGTATCTCACTCAAATAACCACGTGTAAAAAAAAAAGTGAAAACTTCTAAAAAAATTATGTGATTTAAAGTACCCTTACCTAAGAAAAACCTAACATGTTTCACTCTAAAAAGAGCTTTGTCAGAGGTGCAGTAGGCAATATGGCAATATAAGTATGGAAAATATATTTGTCCCCACATGGAAAAAAAACAATGGCAGGCATTAAGCATGTCCTCATTTATAAACAAGATTATTTCTTTATTATTTATTTATTTATTTCAGGTACTTATATAGTGTCTTCAATTTTACGCAGCACTTTACATATATATATTGTACATTCGGCTGCTGGAACCTCCCCTGGGGCATGTGCGTGATCGACATTGCTACGTCCACACATAAGCTTTCATGGGGACATCAACATCTGGTGAAGAAAAGAGAATGCAATGCAAAAAACGGATACATTTGTCATAATGGATCATAGTGAATCACCCAGAAAGTACAGTAAAAAAACACTTAGTGGTTTCAGCAATCTCCTGCATTATCCATCATTCACTTTAAAAGGGGGCATCACATTCTTATAGAGAAAATATATCTTGATATGAAAAAAAAACAACAAGATTTGTCACAGTGGATCATAATAAATCACACAGGACGTAAACGACCACACTTAATGGTTTCTACCAGCTCCTGCACTATCCAAGAGCAATATGTGAGGGGAAAAAAATAGGCACAATATCTCAAAAACCTATATTATATAGGGGGAATCAATTAATTTACAGCTCATCTATCCATGTTAATAATATATTATGACTATATCCAAATCATACAGTTGGCATGGCATAATCACACACAAAGGACAAGAAGGTAAATCCCTCGATCAGCCCATGAGGGGAGCTTAACCACTTGCCCTCCGGAAGATTTACCCCCTTAAATGACCTGGCCATTTTTTGCTATTCTGCACCACGCTATTTCAACTGATAATTGCGTGGTCATGCAATGCTGTACCAAAACAAAATTTATGTCCTTTTTTAAAAAAAAATAGAGCTTTCTTTTCATGGCATTTGATCACTAATGGGTTTTTTTTTTTTTTTTATTTTTGTAATATAAATGAAAAAAGACCAAAAAGTTTGAAAAAAAATAACAGTTTTTTTGCTAGAAAATTACTTTGAACCCCCAAACATTATATATTTTTAAAGCAGAGGCCCTAGAGACAAAAACAGTGAGTGTTAAAATTGTTTT